ACAAGAAAAGAATTATTCATCCAATTAAAAGTATATTTCTTTTGGAGATCTCATTTCATGCAACTTCAGAAGTGTACTGAATAACCCCCCCCCACCGCAGTTTAAAATACGCGCTAACATGGAAAATAAATTAAGGACTGAATTGTTGAAAATAATGAGTGTTATCAGACTCACACACAAACGGTATAACTTTAATAATCGTGATTATTTTTGGCTTGATTACATAACACGCTAAAAAAGGTTCCGTGAATCAATCGTTATCAAGCTGAGCATGGAGACAGGAAACATATGATACTGAGTAAAAAGTAGGGAATAGAATAAGAGGAGTAGAAAACGTTTTTTTGGAAACTTTAAAGTACTATAATCATGAATAAAGTACGATTTAAACAAATTTGTCTAATTTTTTTGTGAGACTGCATCGTCAACACTTCCGTGTAAAACAACTGAGCAACCTAGACAGAAATAACAGGCGTTGGCCTTGAAGATAAATATGAAGATCTCGTGGAATTCAGTAATTTTCACGTGAGTGCATAAGACTTCACATTCTTCATTGTCCGTAGTGTCTAGAAGAAGGATATCATTACTGAAGATAAGCATTCGCAAGACTAATATTATCAGGTGTATGTATTCAGCATTCATCGTTTTTATCTGCAAAGTTATATCCATTTTGCAGCAGAATTACCCGCATGCTTTCACTTAACTCATCCACAGTCTGCTTCATGTCACCCTAAGTTGCCCAAATTAACGTTTCTCATTCAAGTCCTACTCGACAGCCGGTCGCATGATGTCGTTCAACGGTCTCCTCAGCGTATATCAGATCCATCTTCACTTCCTTCTACATATTTGTTGAGCGATAGGTTTTGGTTAGTCTGTCGCAAGGATTTATTTTCTGGCAGGCCATTTGATACTCGGTTTCAAAAAAGAGAGTCAGGTGTTGGTAAAAGTCTGCAAACCCCTGTTGGAAATGCTTTTGGTGACTGTGCTCTATATCTTTGAACGTATAGAAGAATTGACTGACTTAACACTGCTATTGAATACCCTAATCTTGTTATTTATGCTGATTACAGCGGGATTCTGCACAAATTTTACAGTAACAAAGCTTCTTATTGGCCCATCGATCCAGGCTACATTTCAAACTCTGATGTGTGTCGCCTGTAGTTGACGCAGTACTGTCTAGATAAATGAGAGAGGTGACCTTATGCAAATTTCCCCCTGTTAATGATGACTGGAACTTATTATTGTTAATTAGATATATCTTCTTCACCTCTATTATTATATTATTATTATCTCCTTTAACACCTGAAGGAACATAAGGCTTTAGCTGCACGTCTCCATTGCCTTCGGTTTTCTGCCAGCGTTTTCACCCACTCCGATTCTGCCACACGCTTTCATCTCCTCTTCACATCACCTCCTCAAAGTCACCCTTGCATTGACGACCAACTCGCCGTTTCCCTTTCGGGTTCCACTCGAGCAATGACCTGGCCTGCGATGTCACTTGGTGGTTTGTCTTCTCAAAGTATGCCCACCTACCTCCATTTCCATTTGCTTATTTGTTGCACTATCAGTTCCTAGTTGTTTCGCTTACAGTGATCCCTGTTGCTGATCTTTTCTGATCGACCACCTGATCTTCAGCTAAGTACTGAGCGAGAACAGCTATTGATGAAGGTTTCTAGTTTTTCTAAGGTGCTGTTTATGACGCACCAAGTCTCTGATCCATAAAGTACCACTGACTTCATATTGGAGTTGAAAATCCCATCTTATTTTCATTTTTATCCACATAGACTTGAGAGTAATGAAAGCTTGGCAGGTGAAGGAGGTTGTTTCCTTCAGGTTCCTCCCATTTATGCTGTCTGATTGTTGTCTGTTGTTGTTGTTGTTGCTGTTGATTTTGGCCAGGAATCTTCATCACATACCTCTGTTTTCTCTATGTTTACCTGAATTCCTTGCTATCTCTGATGCTTCTTCTACCGCCAACTTGTTGCTTTTCACTTGCATATCTTCCAGTTTGTGTGAAATCAGACATATATCATCACAAGCGAAGTCCAGATCCTCCAAGTTTTATTTGTGAGGGTCCATTTGATGACTGTCTCCTCGCAGCCTGCCACTCTCTGTCGCATTACCCAATCTATTGCAGTCAGGAAAATCACTGGAGATAGTAGGCAGCCAGCTTGTTTTACTCGCGTCTTCACTTGGACGAATTCCGTAAGTTTCCCGTTGTGGATTACTTGGCATGCAGCATTGTCGTACAACTATTGGATGAGATGTATAATAATTGTCGATGGCATCCCATAGTAGCGAAGTAGTTTCCAAATCACCTCTCGATCGACGCAGTCGAATCCTTTTTCAAAGTCGATGAAGTTGAGATAGACAGGTGACTGCCATTCTAAGCTCTTTTCAATGATGATTCGTGTTTTCCCAGATTCGCCTGAACACTATTTATCCGAATATTACTCAGTATTAGATTAGATTTTAATTCTGTTTATCCACTGAGCTGGAAAAAGGTACACATTTCACTTTAAGAATATAAAAGATAATTCAGTGAAGAAAATTTACTTTATTGGCAAAATCGTCTTCACAAGCTGTACTGTCTTATTTATATATAGCAGAAATCTAAAGTAATCCGTTACGAGTACTAAGGGTAATATGATTGATATAACTGCTTAGAAGTGACTTTAGAAGTAAAGATAAAAGTTGTAAATTACGCGGTGCCCAATAGCACAAAGGAAGATAGGCAAGGTTAAAATTGTTACTGAGTGAGAATAAAGGTAGTTGGGTGTCAGTTTAACAAGTCTTAGGAGAGGGTGAGAAAATGTACAAAAAGAACACTTAAAACTGATAATATTGAATGAACTATTAAAGTAAAGGCAAAGTAATCTTTGAAGAGACTAAGACCAAGGTAGAATAAGAGACAGGACAAACATTTTCTGTATACGGAGTTCGGAGATGTATTGACCAATTACCAACGCCCCCTTCCACCATACACAAATGCTGAAACCTGTCGCTCTTGGTGCCATCTGGCCTCATGTTGTAAATAATCATGAAAGACAACTCCGGTGGAGCTACATAGCTTGAATTCACCAAGCGCTGGAGAACTGAGCTTGTAACTGTCTTGCATTGTCCTTTTGCTAACCATTCTGGGTAATATCCAGAGATGCGTTTGGAAATTGTGTGCATTATGCGGCCAGTATAACTAGCTCCACATGAACAGGTGAACTTATAAACACACATTGAAGTGGCCTAAAGCGTCAGTTTATCTACCACACATTCATTGATCATTTGTTGGCTGTAGAAATAGACCGACAGCTCAGTCGTAAATAAGGCTTCCCTCAATGATCTGAATTGCGGTTCTTCAGAATTTCAGCTGTCACCTTTAAATTCAACGCTCATAAATAGCAGTTTTTTCGGCACCAAATGGGTTCTTTCAGGCTTTTGCTTTTACTTCATGTATTTCTCTAGGAATCTGGTACGATATCCCTTTTTTATAAGGACTTGTCTAAGTTGCTCCACAACCCTATCGACTGTATCACTGGAATACATCTTTCTTCTTCTTAAGGATAAGGGGTGGATCATTTCTATCTTTCCTCTCAAAGAGATAAAACTATGAAAATTCGTGTATTGACCATTCAATGTCAAACCTTCTTTTTAGCAAAACATCCAAAAAAAAGTGGATTCCACGTTCATCTTTGATTCCGACGTGAATTGGATGGCATGATGAGAGCTGTTGAACTGCTTATTTATTATTTCGACGTTGACATTCTTGCCACATATGATGAAAGTATCACCCATATATCTTTGATACACATGGAAACTATCTATAGGGGCTGGTAATACACTATTCTTTAGACTTTCCAAGACGCAGTCTGCAAGTAAAGGACTTATTGGTGACCCAATTACCACTCCACCTCTTTATCTACAAAGCATGTTGTTGAACCTGAAATGCACATTAGAAGTACACCTCAACAATGGTTGCTTTAAGTAGTGGATCGGAACACCCACGTCTACATTATTATCCTTAATGAATGTGCATATAAAGCAAATGGTTTCTGTGAGGGGAAGATTAGTGAAAGGGGACGTAATATCCATGGGTATCATATTCCTCCTGAATACATTCGCATCACTTATTGATTAGTTACGTGGATGCAACCGTGCTCATTTCTCCAATTCTTGATGACACGTCATCTTAGTACACCAAGGACTAGACACATGACACTGGATAAACGCTTTGATTGGACACTAGTAAGTAGTTACAGACTGAATTATATCAGTCGGGTTTACAATATGTTCACCATTCTAGGTAGCTCGCCATCATGGTGCACGCTAATTTGAATAAATTAGATGGTTGGAAGGAGTCGGCGGGAGGCCTTGGACCTAGGTTTCATACTGGCTGGCACTCACCTGTCAGCATGGCGTATCTGAAACCAGCTTGAAGGAACTCATGTCCCTTCGGAGATTCGACCCCGCGTCACCAGTGAGTACTGCAGTCAGAGACGTTACCAGAAGGGATGTGAGTTCCTTCAAGGTGGTTTCAGATACGCCTTGCTGACTGGTGAGTGCCAACTAGCACGAAACCTAGGTTCAAGGCTTCCCCCTTCTAACTGCCTTCAACCATCTAATACTGGATAAACGCTCATGATAAAAGGCTTCAGGCTCTGGAATTTTCAACAACGACTGTGCTGCTTTAACCGTGAGACGTTGTCAATTTCACTGATAACCTTTTTCTAGGCTTAATACCGACTACTATTAAACTACGAGAGGTTTATGAGCACATCGAATACCTATGGATCCCGAATCTCATGAATGGCTGTTAGGCAGTCTACCTCTGTAAGACCGCTTTAGACTAATCAGGTACGTTTTGACCAGGTAGAGTGTAACAGAAGAATGAAATAAAATTACTACAGTTATGCAGTGAGAATGCCACCTTTCACTGCGTCAGATATTATGAACTCTCACCTTTCACCTCCTTTTTTTCTTTCCTTTTATCGCTCGATATATTTGTTTAGCATCCAGTGCATATGCTCAATTATGTTTTCGAGTTTTTGATAAACGGAGATCAGGCGAATTAACATTCGAGGTAAGCTTATATAATCTGTCAAATTTCAGATCAGTTATTTTGATGTTTTAATTCAGACAGTCGCTTCAATGAGTGATGCTCTTTCTGAAATGCACAAAACTGCACTTATTGAAATTATTCTATAAAATGATATAATAAATTTAATTATAATAAAGGTGTTTTGTATTTCCCAATGAATGCAAACCAAAACGATATTGTTGTGTTTACTGACGTTTCGCTATTTAATGCCGCTGCTAATAGCTTATCCAAGTATTATTAAACCGGAATTTACAAAAACCGCTCTGCATATATATATATATATATAACAAAGAGGAAAGAGGTGAGAAAATAGACTAAATTCAAGTTAAAGAGACATATTGAAAGTCTAAATAACAATGAAGACCACTAAACCAAATATCAAAGGTAATAGTACATCTGTTATGATATCAAAATAGAGTTTACTAACTTGATCATCGTTCGTTAGTCTGCAGTCATTTTTCGTTGTCAAGTTGGCCAATTAGTAAGGATAACAAAATCAGATGTAGATTGTTGGATTTTATCAGTGTGTAAAGTTATAAAAGCAGTTTGTGTTTACATAGTGAACTTGCTTATCACATTTGTGTTGATTTTGCCACCACATGGGGGAGGGAGGTGTTGTAACAGGGTCAGATTCTGTTTTGGTCCATCATTCCTATTTATCAGGCAATTTGGATTCCACTTGATATGAAGTGATTCTGATATTAGATGTTCTTTGTGATTTCTAAAGTTTTTCTGGATTATTTCAATGTTGTTAAAATCAATTTTGTGGCCTGATCCTATAGCGTGTAGACCTATGGCTGATGATTTTTCAAGCTTTTCTAGTTCAACTGGATTTCTCGGTGGTCGAAGAGATGCTCTACAATGTTAATTTCTTCTGATTTTGATTTCTCTCTAGCGATGTTTGTCCGATGTATATCGCATCACATTCCAAGGATTTTATTTTGTGGACACAGTTAGACAAAATATCTTTTGGGATTTGGTCTCATATATGGACAAGGTTACTTTGAAGTGTGTCTGATGTTTAAAAAACTCTGATGTCGACTTGATTGAGTACTCTTCTGACGATATCGTCAGACAATATCAGAATCGTCTGACGTCTCTACCATGTGTAGGATGGCGACTATTGATGTCCATTTTTTCATCTTCGGTCATACTTAATGTCTGTGTTGATTGTGTTGATGAAGTCCCTTTGGGTAGTTGTTTTACTTGAGAGTTTCAGTAATATTTGATATTCCTTCCTCTTTTTTTTCTCACCCGTTATTAGAGAGTGTGCTTGTCTAAGAAGACTTGAAACAACTGAAATCTTTGCGCTGATGGGTGTGATGATCCGAAGTCTTAATGTTTGTTGGAGTGGGTTTTCTTCCTGAATATGGATATACTAAAATGTCAGTTTTCCATCCTATTAACTAGGCAGTCTAGAAATGGTAGTTCACCGAGGTCGGATTCTGGGAGATTCCCAGTTTATTTTCTTCAGATATGAACTGTGTAGATCTCGTTTCAGCACTACAAAAGTATCATCTACATATCTTAACCATATTTTAGGAGTGAGGATGCTTGAAAAGATGTTATTTTCGAATCTATTCATGAGAAGGTCAGCGACTATTGGAAAGACTGATGAACCCATAGCAACACCATTATTTATCTGTCTATATAAACTCCATTGAAATGTAAAATAATTACTTTCAGGACAGAATTTTAAGCTATTGAATTGAATTTTTGATTTTCCCGTCGATTGATTGGACCGAAGTGCTCGGTCTCAGGTTGACATGTCGGCTTCTTGTGCAGATGCTTCGACGATATCTGGGCATTTAATTAGTATACAATTGGTGGAAAGTGGCTTGCAGTGGAATCCAGGATGCGCATTTCGTCCTATTTGGGACTCTTCAGTGGGATGTACCTGCATTTCTCAGTGAGTGATGATGTTCCCACTGAGGCTCGAACCCAGTACCCATAGTTTCAAACGCCAAAGCGTTATCCACTAGACCACTTGGCCACCATCCACCAATTGTATAAGAATTTTAAGCTCTTAATTATTTCACTGGTATCCGGTGGACATTTACGTGATAGCGTTGTATCTGATTCCAGTCGACTGGAAATGATATCAAGACATTCGGTAATTGAGATACAAATATGTAATGAGTTAATATCATAGCTTACCTTAATGTCTTCTTTATCAATTTCTTGGTGTTCTATTTTGGATTTGAAATTTGAGATTTGAATTTCTCTCAATATTTTGAGGGTCAGTTTGTAGTGGTTGTAGTACATAGAGTATTAAGAGAGGTTGTAAGTCGTCGAATGGGTGAAACATATTAGTAATACTTTGATAAAGCTGTTAGCATTGAATAGCGAAACGTCAGTAAAAAAAAACAATATCGTTTTGTTTTCTATCCATGGGGAAACACAAAAGCCTTTATTATACTGAATATCACTTACCCAATGCCCAAATTTTTTCAAACTGTTGAAAGTGGACTTGGACATATATAACATAAAACTTAAAATTATCAATTTTAAGTTTTGTGGAAATTCGGGTAAATTTTAACTTAAAATTCAACATGAACCAAATCTATTAGTCAAAATATCAATCTCAATCTAGTTGGTGGCTACTGGATGCATGTCTTGTAGTATGCATGTACTTTGTAGTTGTGACCAGTGCAGTCCATCAAGTCAAGATGAAATTGGTGCTCACGGAAAGAACTGGTTAAAGGTGGCGTCAGATTATGAGAAAGCTTGAATCTATGGCAGTTGAATTCCAGTCCAGTGAATGGTTAATGAACTCATTTTGGTAACCTAGAGACGCCGGATTCAATTCACGATAAGTTCTTGAGTGGAGACTGCCAAGAAGTCCAAAACTAAGGAGAAAATCTCGTCCAATGACCTCATATTTTTAATAGTCATTTACTGACTTTGGTGTATGACGAAATCTACATTGAGGCAATGATCACAGTAACAAAGACTATTTCACGCTAATCAATCACTAAATAGTGAGCACTGTTATGTGTTGAATCATTAATGTTGCCAATGGCTGAAGTGTACTGGTTATTTTCACAATCTGATCCTTGAATCCAGGTTTTATCCTTACTGGCACTTATAAGCCAGGCTTATCTTACCCATTAAAGGACCTGATTCTTAGCCCAGTGTTCGGAGACTCGAACTCAACGTCACCTTCTACTGTACAACACCTGCTTTTTATCAGGAACGGGATATTCGTCTGTAAAAATTTGATGAAATCTAGTGTGGCTCATATTTAGGACAATATACACATTTCCTCAGTTTTGTACTAATCCAATACAAAATCAATTTGCTCAGATGTCTCACGAATAGAGCAAGACGTATCTGTACAGATGACCCCCTAAAAAATGAGTTAGGATACATCCAAATTACGCTGGTCCAGATGGGTTATCCTAGTAGATTTATAGGGAGACACATGTATACCAGGTACAATAAAGAGAAACTGATAACAGTTAAAAAGAAACAACTGTTCATGAAACTGCAATTTAATAGGGACGTGGCTAGCGAAGTCTTACATTTGAGATTATCCAGAGCGATAAAACGGACTTATACTGCCGCCACCCTCTGTTTGTCATTTTCCAACCGACCAGTTTTGATTGCTCAAGTGAAAGATAAGCTACCTAGCTGTGCCACTTCGATGTGTATCTATAAATTTAGTTGCTCCTGTGGAGAGAGCTATATGGGGCGAACAATCAGACAGCTTGACAAACACATTGATTAGCATCTTCCTTCACGGTTTGGAAAAGATCTAATAAAATCTATAAGAAGGTATATTTCGAATCATTTGATGGATAGCTATCACCAAGTTGACAGAAATAGTGTCTTCAAAGTTATCTATCGCATTCCATCGAGTCTTTTGAACGGAATTCGAACCCTGCCATTTACATATAGCCGAAGCTATGGGAATTCGAGAAAACAATCCTAGTCTTTACATACAAAAGAAGTTTGTTCTATCTTTGTCTCTCCCTTGGCCTAGGGATCAAATTCTAATCAAAACCCTTCCACTCATTCTTATCTCCCATCTCCTTAGTACTTTTATGATATTTATTTAAACTCTGATTATATGTCCACCTCACCTTTTAAGATTTGACCTAATTTATTTATTTATTGAATTGTCTATATATACACAAACCTATTACTGCCTTTGTTATTCTTATCGCCTGCATAAACCTTATTATCAATATTTTGTTATCATTATAATCATCGTTATTAATTGCGTTAAAAACATTTACCACACGCTTTCATCTCCTCTTCAAATCACCTCCTCCAAGTCACCCTTGCATTGACGACCAACTCGCCGTTTCCTTTCGAGTTCCACTCGAGCAATGACCTGGCCTGCGATGTCACTTGGTGGTTTGTCTTCTCAAAGTATGCCCACCTAACTCCATTTCTATTTGCTTATTTGTTGCACTATCAGTTCCAAGTTGCTTCGCTTCCAGTGATCCCTGTAGCTGATCTTTTCTGACCGACAACCTGATCCTCAGCTAAGTACTGAGCGAGAACAGCTATTGATGAAGGTTTCTAGTTTTCCTAAGGTGCTGTTTATGACGCACCAAGTCTCTGATCCATACAGTACCACTGACTTCATATTGGAGTTGAAAATCCCCATCTCATTTTCATTTTTATCCACATAGACTTGAGAGTAATGAAAGCTTTGTAGGTAAAGGAGATTGTTTCTTTCAGGTTCCTCCCATTTATGCTCGCTGACTGTTGTCTGTTGTTGTTGTTGTTGTTGCTGTTGATTTTGGCCGGGAATCTTCATCACATACCTCTGTTTTCTCTATGTTTACCTGAATTCCTTGATATCTTTGATGCTTCTTCTACCGCCAACTTGTTGCTTTTCACTTGCATATCTTCCAGTTTGTGTGAAATCAGACATATATCATCACAGGCGAAGTCCAGATCCTCCAAGTTTTTTTTAGTTTATTATCATTCGTTATGATTATTATTCGATTGAAAATGTTTGCTTATATGTCTTGTTCTATCATTAAGCCACTGGGACCCGATCCAATGACCATTGCATGAATTTTAACTTCTGTCAATTCATGACACAGAGTGACCGCTGATGAAATCCTCCAACTATTCAAACCAATTCCCTACAAAAAGCCAATACTTGAAGATAACACCTGTAGCGCGATTACTTAATACAATTATATATAGTCTTATACAAAAGTAGTCATAATTTATTCATGTAACGGTGAAAGACAATTTCATCGTAACATAGCATCACTGTAAGCCAGTGACATCGATGAACACCTGCTGTACACCCAACATGATTAATTCCGTTAGAACATCCATTATGTAGCGATTAATGAACAACAAACTCACATACAGATTTTGGATTTCCTAGAGATGTGTTGAATAGTTTCAAAGTAGATTTCATCACATATTAACAGACGTTAAAATTCAGGTGTCATTCAGGCTACTGTCTGTGGTTTCATCACTAGAACGCGGTGTTAAGGAGTAACAAGCTTGAACAGGACCATATTTTTCAATGTTTCTATCACCAATGCTATTTCGCCACAAAATTCAAATTGAAATTATAGTTCATCAGCCAAATTTCAACCATTACTTCATTTGACAACTCTGGGGGCTGGGAAACTGAAAAGTTTTAATTCCAGCTTTCTCTCAGACTATTTTGGTTTGAAAAGTATTGCTCAAAAATGAGGGAACCCCTGAGTTATAGCTTATTAGTCAAGTGTGGCTTTTATCCGTATACATATATATAGTTTTGGACTCAGTTTGAATATACAACTCTACACAAAAGTGAAATAGTCCAACATGCAACAGTGCATATATTACACACAGCAATATAATGATAAGAAAACGTTGGAGAAACAATAACAACATGGAGAAAGGTGAAGATTTAATTGGACTGTGGTGGTTACAAAGAGTGAATGCATCTGCGTTATGGAGAATGCTTTCCAACCATACAACTTGTTGGTTATTAGCGTTATGACCACTCTAGTCAGGCAGTATACACCTTCTTACAGTTAAACAGTTTCATTGATTGATGCCAGGTTTTTAATTTGACCACTCTTAACTCTTTTCTACCCTACACCTACATCACAGAATACTGCGATGCTGACAAGATACACGATGATTTGGCATTCTCTAGCATAGCAAGTTAGAATAGATGACAAAGTGGTCAGTACACTGAATTAATTATATAAAACTTCGTCCATAGAGGTAGACAATAAGCCTTAAAAGTGGATTCCAGATAGAAGTTCTTTCACAAATGTATATTATTTATAGAAACACTGGAAATAATTAATCAGTGCTACAGAGTTATTTCGATCTGAATTTGGGCTCTTCAACAGTACTCACCTATGACTTCACCAGTGATCGAATTCAAGACCTAAAAAGTGTCGTTTTTTAAGAGATAATGCTTCTTTGCGCTGTAACAGATAAACTGATGAACAAGAATCTGTTTTTTTGTACATTTATTCCCTACTAATGAGTTTGAATCAAGCAAGAACAACAGCGATTTGTGCAGAATCAGATGATGGTACCACCATTGTTTATTTCATTGACTTCTCATCAGCTGCTAGCCAACAGCCTAAATAAATTATTATCAGGTTCATGTACAGAAAAGTTTAAACATACTTGCAAATTATACATGATATCGTCATCTGACAGGAGGTTCTGGGATTAGTGAACAGTGCTCAGAAAATTATGCTTATACACCTTCTATTCATACAGTTCAAGTTTAAACAAAGTAAATGTATGCATGCAGTAGTAAAGGAGTTACGTAATAAAGACGAGAGATGTGCAAGCTGACAGGTAAATAATAAAATGGGTGACATTGTATCAAGTTCAACTCAAATCATAGAAACAAGAGGTAAGCAAAATTACACTATATCAAAAAAGAGGGTGAGGTTAAAGACAAAGATCATGTGACCAAATGAAAGAGAGAATAAAGACATTCAGTGACCAGGTGGGCAAGGAAATAGTGACAGGTAACTGCTTCTTTCTAGGAGCATTAATTGGCTTTCAGGCATTTGGATAAAGATTGCTTCAATAAACATGAAGACAGCTGAACTGAACTATTTTGTCCATTGACCATTTTAAGCGATTTCACGATATCCACTTCATAACCCATATTGATTCAATGGCTGACTATCTCACTATAGTGAGGACTCGTTCTTCGGAGATGTTGGGATTTCGGCGCATATTCAAAAACAGTCGGAGGTGTGCCCTTCTCTCTGTTCTCACAGCGTAAGTGATCCCACAGATACACGTAAATTTGTATACATAGTTGGAGTTTAACATGAGAAGGGTATCTGTAGACTTTTTACTGCACTAAGGAGCATCAATTATATAGTTGACAACACCATTATAAGTTGTTTTTGCAATTCAAGCTGTTTATTTTTTTTAACTTTCATTGTATTATTCCTCTCTTTTTTGATTTTGTTTTATTCTAAATTAACAGCAGTTTGCTTGTGGTCTATCAAAGTTGACTAGAGGTTCAAATATGGATAAAATTAAATGGATATTTACTCTATATGATATTGATGAAGATGGTTATATTAGTCGATCCGAGTTGAAAGAAGTTGTACAAGCAGTTTATGAATTATTAGGTGATAAATTATTTACAGGGAATACTGTACAAGCTATTGACGATAGAGTGAATGCAATGTTTATGGTAAGTGTTGATATCTTTTAATTAAAAAATTAATGATGGTCTACTTGGGTTGAATACTAGCCAGTAACTAGTTTGACGTGTGTCTAGTCCTTCCTTTGTTTGGTACAGATTGAACTAAACCAATAATAGACAGAAGACCAGTAGTTCAGCGAAGAGTCTCTTCTCAGAGAATTCATTTTTATAGCTGTACAATCGCAAATATATATACACGACCTGCCTCATTTAAACGAAACTAACTTTGTCAAATGTGCAGATGATCTGACTGTATCATTGCCTATCACTTCCGAGTCTGACAGCTCCAAACTTAATAGCTTTCCGTTGGACATCATCAAGTGGTCCAAGTCAAATGGTCTTATGTTAAATCCTTCCAAATGTCAGGCACTTAACTTCACTTTCAAGCATCGACGTGACCCACATGAACTAGTTAGTTCGCATGATGCCTGTAGCATAGATAGCACGGAAATTGAAACCAAATCAAGCATTAAATAGCTTGGATTAGTTCTTTCCTCTGACCTTTCATGGTCATCCCACATCTTATCTATCTCTAAGAAAATGTTTCGTCTTACCTTCTACATTAAAAAGTTAAGACAATAAGGTATCGACTAACCTTTACTTCTGCAGTTTGTAATCTCCTGTATTTTACCTATTGTACTCTATTGCTCCCCATTAATCTTTCCTGGGCTTCTCAAAAAAGACTACATCATATTATGAAGAGCATTAAATGCTATGAGTAGGGCTTGTGGTCTGCCACTGAATGAGCTCGCCAATACTATAGTCGAAAGACACATAAATTCCTGTACAAAATGGGCAAAGACTATACTGTCAGACCCTCTGCACCCCCTTTATTCACACCTATCCCCTTGTATCTCATCAGGTAGGACGAAAAGTCAATATAAAAAGTTATATGCTCGTACCACTAAGTACAAAAATTCTACAATACCCTATTTAGCCCGTACTTTATGTGATGAAGACTCTGTTAGACGTGAAACTTACAAGTTACTATGTAATTAGCAAAGTGAATCGACCATTTCATTGTTCATCTTTCTGTAATTTTATGGTGTCACACTTTCTATCGTTTAATTATAACTTTGCCATTTTATTTTAGTTCTTATTACTATTATTCCTGCAATTTTATACTTTATGCATATTTTTCTCCGTATGGCATACAGTAATTTGCTATGTAGCTGCTACAACAACGTTTTATTATTATTATGTAATGTTTGTTTATATACTTTTTGTCTTTTTTGAGTAAATTAGATGCAATATTGTACTGAATGCTGAAAATTCCTTGCTGTATCATTAGTACTGTTTTTGGAATAAAGCAAATTATCATTATCATATATTTATATGGTTGTTTTGTATGTGTGTGTACACTGAATTTGTCAAACGAAAATACAATTAGTAAGTTCAGATGAATTCGATGCTGATAAAAGGATAGTAACAAAAGTGATGAGTTGTCACAAATGATTGCTAAAGAAGAGTTGAGTAATAACGTCAATAGTTTGATGAAAGAGTTGTGCTCAGGGAAACAAAATAACATAAAATTGAAAACGAATCCAAAATCCCTTTTCTTGATGTTGAACTTATAAGGAGAGCTGACGGAACTTAGAGAAGGTCCATCTATAGGAAACCCACATGGAACTGCCATTTGATGAGCTTCTACAGCTGGGTACCAATCAGTCGAAAAATAAACCTAATCAAATCTCTTGCCACTTTCGTCCGACGCAGCCTTGATACCCTGGAAGAAGAACTATACTTCCTGAAAGAAAGCTTCATAGAAAACGGTTTTCCATCAAGATTCGTAGACAAAAACGTGGAAAGGAAAATCCAAAAGCAAGAGACACCATCCATACCAAAAAAGATACTTCATATGAACCTCGACTTCAGAGGTGACCTACTCAGTGATGTCCTTAGGAGGACGATTTACACCTCTTTAAGAAGAACGTTTTTTGCGGCCACAGTCGGAGTAGTGTTCTGCAGTCGCCCGCTGATCAATTCACCTGTCGCTTTGGAGGAAAATACATCGGTAGTTCAACGCGCATCCTGTCAAAAAGGGTCAAAAAACACTATCCAGAGTGGCTGCAGAAAGGAAGTAGTGGCCGTTTAACGAGTGCAATAATCCAACATCTCGTCAACGCTGGTCACTCTACCTCAGCAAACGCTTCCTTAAAAAAAATCGAAAAACTGAAGAACAACCTTCCGAAGATATTACATTTCCGTCTTCTTTTCATCGCAGAAGCCTTAGCCATTCAGCTGGAAGAACCAGAATTATGCACACAAAAGAAAACTATTCAATCACTTCTAGTGTCGTGGTAACAACTTTGCTGATTTGACTTAACTTTTGGTTGTATGCTAATTTTTCTACCAACTCTAAACCCTTTTGTAATTCCGTATGTTATTTTGTTTCCATGTACACCATAAGCACAACTCTTTCATCAAACTATTCACCTTATTACGTAAATCTTCTTTAACAATCATTTGTGACAACTCATCACTTTTGTTACTATCCTCTTATCAGCATCGAATTCATCTGAACTTACTAATTGTATTTTCGTTGGACAAATTCAATGTACACACATATACGAAAGAACCATATATATTTGCGATTGTACAGCTATGAAAATGAATTCGTTGGCGTAAAGGGACTCTTCGCTGAACTACTGGTCTTCTCTCTATTGATGTTCGATTGGGAATTTTTCATGAATTCTATCAGTCAGGTTTGCAATATAGCCATCATTCTAGGTACCTTGCCATCATGGTGCATATTGACTTGATGAAATTAGATGGTTAGTGTCCGCTACAGTCCTACAGGAGGTCAGTCATGAGCCCGAGTAGTTGCCTCAGTGGTAACGCCACTGACTGCAGGTGTCATTGGGTGCCTGCCGCGTGTTTGAATCTCACAGGAGACATGAGTTCCTTCAAGTTGGTTGCAGATAGGCCTTCTTGCTAACTGATGAGTGCCAACTAGCAAGAGACCTACGTCGAGCAGGGCTTACTGTAACCAATTGCCTCCAACCATCTAATATCATCAAATCCTGATGTAATTTGACGCATATATATATATATATACTTTTAGAGAATCACCCACTCAAAAACGTAATCAACGAACTCTCATTCTAATGGACGATACTCACCAATAAACTGAGTACATCTTTGAAAAGGAGGAAGACAACAACTTATCACTTCTTGATCGCCAGTTTACAAGAAGGTGAGATGGAAGTATTAAGGTAGGGTATTATCCAGGTCAAATTCATGGGTTGGTCAATACACCGATTTCAAGTCGTTTGTCTATCTTGCCCACAAACGAAATCTTATCAAGTACCTTGATGTATCGTGCCAGAAAAATCTGTACAAACGACATTCTAGACAATGAAATAAAGAAAATAGAAAATGTCTTTATACGAGAACGGATACTATGAAAAATTTGTTGCCGATTAGATGAAGGAAACAGATAGATGGAAATACCTGCAATACCTGTGCAAGAGAAACGCATAAACATGATTTTACCCTTTATCTGGAAACAGTAGCATAGGTAAACGACTCGGCAAGCCGAATGTCACCTTCAGGAGCATTGCCTAAATTGGTTAGGCAGAGGAGTCGTAAAGTCAATCAGAAGTTGTATACTTGCACACCTGGTGGACATAGAGCACAAGACGGACAAAAATTCATCTTTTAGAATTCTATGCAGGGTGCCACTTCAACTCCTTAGGTTGATACGTCTTCAGCTGCTGCCTGTGAAGCAAAGCTGAGTCAGCTACCATAACGATTTTACATCGGGATTTCTGTGTTCAGGAAACGTTTGGCCAATCTCCCTCTCCATCCGCTGGCCTTCACCTCCAACTTAAATAGTTACCTGTTCCGGTGACACCGGATAATTGTATTATCAATATTATGCTGTGCTGTAGTCGTACATTTTATCGCTGATTTCACAATTTATCATTATCATATTATCTAAACTCCATGTGATAATAGTTTTTTCTCCTCTTTCCCTACTAGTATGCACATTTTGCGTACATGCTCACCGTCGCCTAGGTTACATAAACATAAATGTAAAAATAAATTGGATTAAAATATCAGATTTTGGAGGTACACCTTTATTCTATTCAGTTCTCTGTCATCACTGACTCCTCCACCACGTTTTTTCATTACTTATTTTCCTACTACAACATACGACTTGAGATTTTATGTCTTCGAGTTTCAGTAGCAATGATATTTTTACTGAGTAGAGTTGCTTGCCTAGTGTCGAATTATTATTATTATTATCATATCCTTTAATTCCTAGAAGAACATAGGGCTTCAGCTGCACGTCTCCACTGCCTTCGGTTTTCTGCCAACTTTTTCTCTCCGCTCCAAGCCTGCCCACATGCTTTCATCTCCTCTTCACATGACCTCCTCCTCCTCCATGTCACCCTTGCACTCACGACCAACTCGCCGCTTCCCTTTCGGGTTCCACTCGAGGGATGGCTTGTCTAGTGATGTCACTTGATGGTTTGTTTCCTCAAAGTATGGCCAATCCAATTCAACTCCATTTCTTCCTGCTTATTTGTTTCACAATCGGTTCCTGTGTTGGTTTGCTCACTACCAGAGATCCCTGTTGCTGATCTTTTCTGGCCATCTAACCTTGAGTATTGCGCGAAGACAACTGTTAGTGAACGTCTGTTGTTTGTTTGAGATGCTCTTTATGACACGCCAAGTTTCTGATCCGTATAGCAGCAATGACTTCACATTGGAGTTGAAAATCCGGATCTCATTTTTGATGCTAAGTGCTGCTGACCTGCACACAGACTTAAGAGTAGTGTCGAACACCTCCTCATTTTCAATTCTAACCATTGAGTAGTCAACTAGTCGAAGTTTAGGAATGCATCGGCAGAGATTTTGACACCAGGCCACGTTCATGGTCGGCGAGTACTTTACCAATGCACTTCTAAGGCACCCAATCACTTTTGGTAACCTTGAGTTATGTGAAATAACTGAGGGACAATAACTGATACTGATTTGCAGGAGCGTGCTTGTGTGGATCCCATCTGTCTAAAGTTTGAAGACTGATTGATAACAGGTGGAGAATCCTAGGCAAACCAGGGAATAATAGCCAGCTAACTGCTTATCCCTACTTTGGGACACTCCAATTCTACCCGCCTTTTGGCGTTTCAATCCAGCAACTTCCGGTTGCAAGAAAATATCATACACCATTCAACCACCGAGGCCTTACTTAACAGCTCCTGAATTCCTACTTCTAGGAATTCGTTATTTTGGGACGATCATCAGCTCTTTTGTGCATCAGTGGCTTGATGGAAGAATGCTCGTCGACTAAGCATGTGGTCCAGGTTCTGATCCACAGCCGGCGCACTGTCTTACCTCGCTAAGCCAGCAATATAACTGACAAAGAGGGAAGGGTAAGCATGAGGCTAGCAATCCCATCCAATAAAAATAAAAAATTACTGTTGCAGAAACTGAAGGCCTCTAGCTTGAAGCGCTATGTTCCACTGGGAACGTGAAGGAGTAAAAAAAGATCAACTCTTTAAAATTCGTCTGATGTTTGCCGGTCACTGGTTACACCAGGAAGTTCTGGTCTACCAGGTCAAGTGTGAAGAGTGGTTGGTGTTCGTGAAAACATCACGAATTGGTAGAAGATGTAGTTTATGAGCTGATCATGAAGTTGGGTGCGCGTGCTTGAATGGTCTACAAGCTGTTCTTGTAACCGGACAGCCGTGAGCTCGAACCCCTGTTGGGGGTAATTCTGAAGAAACTGACGTCCCGTTTTCCAGTGGTACACTAACTGATATCAATCTCTGGTCAAACTTAAAACATATCTGTAATATTTGGAACATTTTACATGACTTAATAACCACCTAAGAACATGTCCTCTCCGTCGGATGACATTGAAACTTACCTTTAGTCCTCACAACTGCCAGTGAACTTGTCCATATATAGTGTGAAGTAGAGTCTACTGAATTTCGCCATTTATTGTGGAAAAAGAAATTGATGTTTCACTGTACAAAAGAGTAAAATATTTTGTAGCAGCAATATTTGATATGCCGAAAATAAGCATTGTATAATGATCCTAAAATAAAAATCATTAGAATTGTGTCTCTCTTGCAGTCAAAAACTATTTGCACTAGAAATAATGACTGGATAGAAACATTGCATAAACCTGTCATTCTTTACTTAATTTTTAATGGCATTTATGACACACACACAAAGAAGGGAAAACTCTTATACAATGACGCGTAGCCTAATGTCAGATGATCTGCATTTAACGGTAAAATGTTTTACTTTGCTGACAGCTGTTATGACTAGCAAAAGAGGAGTTTGATATGGATTCCTGTGGATATGTTAACACTGTACAAGTCATATCGGTATGTTTGAAATAAAAGGCAAGCAGGGGTGGATTGGAGAAGTTGACGGATAGGGATATACTGTAATTCTTTTTTTGATAGTATTTGTGTTCACTGACCTCGGTAGTTTCACTGTCAAGGTATCACTGTCTTTTTCTGGACAGAATGTTCAAAGGTTAATTTTAGAGTTAAGTGAGATGGATTGTCTTCAGAGGTTTTGATATCCCTGTGTCGATCTGTATCAATACTGTTCGTTTTAGATTGACTTTTTTATTTGAACTTTATGTCAAATGTGAAAAAAGAAAGAAGAAACATTGACTCAGAATAATCTGGATCCATTTTATTTCGTTGGTTCTCATCAGCTGTGTACAACCCGGATTCTTTAATAAAATAAAAATGTACAATTTTAACAAACTTTTGTCCATTAGTAAGCACATTGTCAGAGCGTCATGGTGAAATAAGGCGTTGCAATTTACAAGGTGTCTAAAGTGTTACGACATATATACATATTTATCTTGTTAGAGAGGAGTTTCTTGGAAAAAATCAATTGATAGTTGTGTTGTTGGGGTGGTAACAACAGAAAATTAGTAATAGTTACGCAATAAGATAAGAGAAGATCAAAATTTCGGTGCACATGAGGTCAGATGAGAAGTTGGTGATGTGTAATACAGTGAGCAGAACTCAGAAGATCAAGAAAAATTATCTCTTAAGAGAGTCAGGCTAAAAATAAAGCGGGAGGGTGGAGTGAAAAGATAAGTTAACAAAATTAGAAAACAAAAGGTTACTAAGAAGTGAGTCACCAGGGTAATTGAAGTCCAACAACGGATTCTTTTTGGACACATAAGTCAGGCTTTAATCGTTTTACTGCTATAGCTTCAGCAAACCTGAGAATAAAAGACCAAGATGTTTGGCAAAGATGGTGATCTTTTCGGTGATTTCATTCTCAAAAGCAGCTGTACAATCGCATTTAAATACATTAGTTTACATGGATACAATTGTTATTTGTTTAATTCCACATAGTAACGGAGATAATAATTTTCAACTTGATATAAAAGTTTGAAGGTAGGAATATAGATTACATGGGGCTTAGAGACAAGGTTGCATAGGATTAGAAAACAGTTGCAACGTATGCAAAAAATTAATATTTGATAACTGGAGAAATAATTTTAAAGGAGAATAAAAGGTGTCAATTATTTTTAACTTGATAAGAATTTCAAGAGGATCAGAGACACAGGAATAGAACGAATTACAGGTGTGAACAAAATGAGCATAGGAACAAATTGAAATCAAAATTTTCAACTTGAAATTTAACTTAGGAGGTGTGAATATTGATTACTAGAGGCATAAAAACACAAAATTACACAGGATTAGAATATAATTGTAGAATGGTTATTCTAAACGGATTACAAGTGTGAACCTGAGAAGACTTGAGGTACTTTGTCTGTTAACTATTTTGAATGATTCCAGTACACCTACTCGGTGTCCTGTGTCAATCAGGTGTTTGGCGATTGAAGAGCCTAAGCAATTCGGTCCCTTTAACCGGAGGCTCCTTGGTACATGTCCATGTCAAATGACTAGTTCTTTTTGATAGATAAGTTTGGTATCATTAAATCTAATCAACTTACACCTAAAATTTCTGAATTTGCCCTTGTGTTAAGAGATACACCTTACATAGAAAAATGGTATAATCTGGTACCCATTAATGAGATGAGGCCTACAGAGACAGGTAAGCAAGGGGAGTAAGTGGAAGAGGTTGTAAAGCTACGCCAATTTAGACAGCTTGTACACGTGTTATGCCTGCTGAGACACCGCCATTCTCAATGAGCATTATTAGCTGACATCGGATTAGGTTTGGAAAGAGTTAGAAGTGGACAAATCAAAACCCCACATGAATCCATGAAGTCTGTAACTGCCAGTGTGATACACGAAGTAGTATGTAGCATATCAGATTTCTCAGGATGTTGAGAACCAACAATGGCTGGAGACTATTGACAATATGGCTAAAAATGTTTGTCACTGAGACAGATACATTCAGTCACTACACATTGAGGCAAGCGCTGGAGATGATGTTTTCTACCTGTGCAGTCAGCGTAGTCGGTCATTCCATGGATAACTTTCTATGTTGGCAGCGCTAGTTATAACCAAAACCAACTTACTGGGGTCTAAACGGAGAAAATTGATCTCTGAACGTCTTCTCTTTTTCATATGACTAAATGGGGATTTTCAAGATACTCAAATTGATCTCTGTTTACAACTGCCTAGACTCGTGCATAGTCATAAAACGTTCTAACGTTAGCAAAGAAATAAGTATTGATGGTTAGATCTATGCGTCTTTAGTGAGCAATAAATACATGACTCCTAAAGTGATATGGAGGAGGAGGTCATGTTAGAAAGAGATGGAGGCTTACGGGCAATCATGGAGGAAGGTGATGGGGACTATGAAGAATAAGGCAAGGTAGAAGTGTGCCAATGAAGAAGTATGTTTCACTTGAAACCCACTATAGTTGATTCAAACCACCATTAGAACCAAAACATAAAGTTCCAGTGAAGACAACATGACCGAAAATTAACCGAAATCTGGTCTCGAGGGATAAAGTATACTATCGTTTCACTTTACGGTGTCCATTCATGATGATGAATAATCCGGGAAATTTATTGCTGGCTGCTCGGATCTTAAGCTCAGTAGGATTATTATGAGTAAATCTAAGAAATGATAAACTAAAAACTTGTGCTTTCCTTTTTACTTCTTTCTCAGAAATATGATCTTGATCAAGATGGCAGAATATCAAAAGATGAATTTCTCAGTGTTACTACACAGGTAGGTTTCTTGTCCAAACTTTAACTACTTTATTACTTAATTAAATTAGGTGGTATGATGTAACTGACAGAACTGAGTAGAGCTCAACTTAAATTCAAAGCCAGTCGGGTTAAATTTAGTGTCATAAAGGAGTAGGAATGTGACAGTGAGACAGGTGAATAAACAAAGTTTAAATGTTAAATAATTACGCATCAAACGTTAAGAAAATTTAGATCCAATAACAAGTTAACTGAGCGAAAAAACTACGTCTGTGTGCTAATTGCAGAGTTAAACACGTGGATCATCACAACTTCTGCCTTTTGTGTAGAAATTTAATTCGTACGCTTCGGTGTCTTAAATCGATCAGGTGTTCTGCAATACAGCTGCAATTAGATCTTTTTTCTCCTCTGTAAAACCGAGAGATTAAATATTCAGTGGATACTGACTGGCATTGAAATCTATGGGACGCATCTTGTCATACCTGTGACTTGACTCCAAACCACTAGACCAGCTGGACTGCAAGAGACGTCACTTTTGCAGGGGCGCCACGTATTATTTGTTTTTTTTTAATTCATTTTTTATTTTCTTGTTGATTATTTGCACCGAAATGTTCGGCCCTGACACTTGAAATGACGTCCACTGGATTTTGGCGTCAATGGGAACACCACCACTCACTGGGAAATGTGGGTCCATCCAGCCGGCGAGTCCGCAATAGGACGAAACACGTGCCCTGAATTCCACTGCTAGTCCCCATCAACCAAATTATCTCAGTTTAATCCTAAGACACAGTCGAAGCATCTGCACTAGAATCCGACACGTCAAAAGAGGGCCGAACATTTTGGTCCCTTCAATCAATAAGAAAGTCAGGACTGAATTATAAATAAATAACGGGGTAAATGGTCGATTTCACGCCTACCTTGTCCATTGAAGAAAACTTTCATCATAGTTGAACTTCAAATTACTTTCTCTAAGTATCCAGTGGTACATATGAACATAAATGATAAGCTGTCAGCATTGAGCAAATGAGAGTGTTCCTATCAAACCACCAGTTCATGTGTAGCTATGTATTCTGGCCATACTTGGTGTTTGCTATCCTGATGTGTCATCAACCATTTACCCTTTTTCTTCCAAAAAAAACTACATTTCTGATCATCAAGACAGAAAGAGATTGAAAACCACGGAGCACTGTATGACAGCCATTTCATTTTAGTTCGAGACTCAACAGCAACATGCCTCCTCTGCCAGGATTCGAACCCAAAAACTTCTGGTTTCTAGGAAAGCTCATGGACAACTCAGACCAATCGATCCAACGGCTGATGAATTCCAGATTCTGCCCATTCCTAATTTTAGGCAAACCATCTTTCGAAAATAATTCTAATGCTCACTGGTGACTGACCGCGGGACGAATCTGTCTAGAATTCCATTGTGCGTCGGTGGCACAGTGGTTAGGACTCTCTCCGACCATGCACATGGTCCGGGGTTCGAGCCCACGCCGGCGCACACCTGATATCTATGGTCGGCCTGCAAAATTTAGGCTACCGATATCCACGCTGAAAATTCCACACTTGTACCAAAAATACAGTGTGGAATCAAGCTGTAAATCAAAAATAAAACAAAAATTAAACACTAGTGACCGGTGGAGACCAGAAGGTCGGGTGTGAACATACGGATGGTGTTTGGACCATTATCACGAGGTAGTAGTATCTAGCATTCACGGACTACTGGATCGAGATTCTTGTAACCAGAGGGTTCAGAGTTCGCACCTCACTGGTGGAAGCGCGTGGCTGAAGGGTTCCAGACCAGGACGAAACAGCCATTCAGCAAACTTGATGTTTGAATGTTTTTCCAAATGATCTCGATTCGTGGTCAGATGTCACAAACAAATCAAATCTCTTGAAAATAATATCAGTGTAGCTTCTCCTGAGTAATAGGTTTCTCTCTTACATAATTGTTACCTAGACCTTATAATTTATACAAATCTATTATTTATTTATTCATTTCAGGATCCTGATTTTATGGCCAACTTGAGTCTATTTGACACAGTCACATAGTATGGAAAGTTGAACCGAAAGAAAACCGCTTACTGATTTTGTACTTTTCTCACCTGGTGTTATTTTCATCAAAAAATCACTTGTGGGAATGTTTTATTGTAAATCAATGCAATTATCTAAAAAAAAAAGTAAAGGAAAAACAACCAAAGAACTGAAAAATCCTTTTTCATACACTCAGATCCCTTGACACACAAAGAAATAATGAGTTTGTTATTGTGAAAAGAATTTCATGAATAAATACGTTATTGAAGTAGGATGTTTTATTGTTATTAATTATTATTATTATTATAAATGTTCCCGTGGGTTTCAGGGAAGGGTGAACACACAGCTACAGTGATATACCTCCATCTCATCTTGTTCTCTGCAGTCCTGTTTAGCTGGCTTCACAACTAGCCATAAGCTCGCATTTCCTCTGCATATGGTCTCACTCTCTCGAATGCCAAATTTGACGTTTTCTACTCGAGTCCCCTTGAATGGATTTTCTTGTCTTGAGATATCAATAGACAGTCTCCCCATAGTGCACGATCCATTTTCGTTCCTTTCAACAAATTTGTATGGCAATAGGCTTTTGTTTGGTTATTTGCTGGAGTTCCTGTCTGTTAACCTATTCTGGCCAACTGATCTTTAGCATTTAGCGGGAAAAATGAACGTCTATTGATGAAAGTCTGTGACTACCTATTAGAAATTCCTCCGGTGAAGCTTATGCCAGTTGTCTGAGCCACATAATCACAGGTGACCTGACATGAAAGTTGTAAAATTAAGATCTTCTACCTCATGCCAATTGCAGTAAACTTCCATAGTGCTTTCAAAGAAATAAATGTAGATCTTGCTTTCTTAATCTTGCATTTGACATCGTCTAACTCCTGGAAAATTCCTATTGTTGCGTATAGAAAATCAAAACAAGTGATGATTCAGCGAAGAGACTCTTTTCGACGAACTTATCATCAAGCCGTATAATCGTACATATATATGTGGTTTTTAAGAAGTTATATCCAATGACGCATTTGAATCATTGGTGTGAATGCATGAAATAATAGTATGAAGTTCAATTACAACTAAAATGTTTGTGATTATAACCATAGTTAAATATCAAGTGACAAAACAAATTAATGTCACATATAGAACACTGATTCGTAGGATGGACAGAACTTAAAAAAGGTTGTGCAATTATAGGATTAGTAGACAAATCGAATAAAATAAAAACGTTACGTAATAGTGTGTGAAATTTGATAGCATAGAAGTTAACGTTGTAAAAAGAAGAATTGATTTAGAATGACAAGTGGAACAAGTGAAATAATACCGGGGACAGTTGTTCAAAGTGAAAATAGTAATAGTAACAACTGACGTAATAAAGGAAGAGTATACAAACTGAATAGACAAAATGGAAAAAATGAAAAATAGGTAGAGCCAAAATATTACTGGGGATTATCATACTTTACCACAGAGGGATTAAGAACATGAAAGTTGGAGGGGTTGAACGAACTTTTTCAGTACACAGAGATCTGGCTTTTCTGTTTCCATTGCCAAAGCTTCAGCAAAACAGATGAGTCGTATAGGTAGGGATTTACGTAGATTGCTCCTTGCCTTGTAGATGACTTTAAAGGTGGAGGCTATGGAGATAGGGTGATCATTATCGACCAGATGTTCAATGATCGCGCTTCTTATTACTCCACTTTCACCTCTTTGTAACCATGCAGGATAGTGTTCTTGAATCCTCTGAGACGAAACTCGAGTTGAACGACCAATATAGCCAGCTGCACACGAGCAGGTGAATCGATAAACACACTTAGAGTTGGTCAACAGCGGGATCTTATCCTTCAGGTTATTGAACAGTAATGGTCGACTAGTAAAGGCTATTCTCAGAGATGTAGCAGGGAGTGTTCTTCCCAGGGACTATGATATCCTTCATTTCATGATATCGGAATTTGAATTCCAAGCTCGTGTAAAGTATTCTCTTGAGTACGGATGATAAGCCATGTTTCATAGGGTTGGAATGTATATTCTTATCTATAAAACGTGGTAGAAATCCATATTCTATTAGGATTTTCTTAAAAGATATAACTCAACTTCAACAATATCAGGGCTACATATGCGCCGAATGCGAGTAGCAAGCGACTGGACCAGGTTTCGTTCACGTCCAATGGGTACCCAGCTGTAGAAATTTGTCAGTTGACCATTCCATGATAGCTTTCGATAAATTGATCTTTTCAGAGTTCCATCGGTCCTGCTTGATAAATTCACGTCGAGGAAATGAATGCTAGACGCGTTCTCCATTTCGAGTGTGAATTTTATCGCAGGATGACAACCATAAAATACACTTAATATATTATTGAAATTGCAATCCCTATTACAAATAACAAAGTTGTCATCTACATTATTTGAAAAGAGTCTCTTCACTGAATCACTTGTTTTGGCGTTGTCATCCGAGCCGCCAGAAGTTCAAGTCGAACTGTCCAGATAAGTGAAAGAAATGACCACTTTTAAATTTTTTTCGGTTGATAATGATCAGTGCTGCGTTTTTTTGTTATTGATTGGTCATTTTTATCACCCCTATCTGTTCTTTGTTCACCTGAAGTCCCATCTTCGCTGCTTCTGAAACCAACTTGTCGATTTTAGCCTGTAAATCCTCCACATTGTTCAAAATTAGACACAAATAATTTCAAAAGTCCAGATCTTCTAAACTCATCTTGCCAACCCAGCAATGTAGGAGTATAGGAAGGATTAGTCTGGTTGTTAGAAGTGAAGTGAAGCAAGTGAAGTATACCCATGATGTATTTAATCAAAAAACCACATTTTAAAGTCTAGGAACCGTCTCATACTGACAAAATATCCGACCGCTTGGAGGTTTATTTGAATATCTGGATTCTAAACTCCATGTCATTTCTAGAACAAACTAATTCTTAGATTCTATCAAGACCTAGTTTGCGCAGTTCAGTGCTTTTTTATTACTTCAGTCTTGTTAGTTAATACTACTATTATTATTCCCTTGAGTTCCGAGATAAAATAGGGCTCCAACAACTTTCTCCTATTTTCTGCCGTCCTCTTTAACTTGGTCCACAATCGCCCATAATTTCTTATGTCCTCTTAGAGCGATTTTCCCCATGTCACACTAGAATGAATCACTCATCGCTTCCCTTTGTGATTCTACTCGAAGAAGGCCTGGTGTGCGATGTCATTCGACGATCTTTTCAACGTATTTCCGATTGATCTCCATTTTTTCCCTATATATTTATCGAGTAGTCGTCTCTTGGTTGGTGTGTTCTCAGCCAGAGTTCCTTGTTGCTAATCGCCCTCTGGTCAGCCGGCTATTTGATCTTCAGTATAGAGCCAGTGAAGGCAGACAGCTATTGATTAAAAAAGTCTGCAATCTTTTAGAAATCTTTTTCAAAACACGCCAAGCTTCTAACCCGTGTAGAAGGACTGACTTCACAATGATGTTGAAAATCCAAATCTTATTCTTTACGCTAACTTAGTGACAACGAAGGAGAATTCCAAACTGGTTTAAGGTTGATGAAGGCGTATCTCAACTCACCGATTCTGGGTGGCTGGCTGGATTTGACATCTTCATTCGTTTCGTCTGCCTATGATTAAAACGATGCTTCCTTGTTGGATAGGTGAAGGAAGTGAAGGAACCTCTCTCAAATCTCCCCGTTGACTCATGGGGAATGGTGCTAGTTGTTGTTGTTGTCGCTGCTGCTGTTAGTGGTGGTGACTGATTGTCTTCATCACCTCCGTCTTCTCTGAGTTTACTTGGATTGATGTATTCGCTGCCTGCCAGTCTCTTTAGCCAGTTTACTGGTTTTTGCCAGTAGGTCTTCGAGTGTTTGTGTGACATTAGACACATATCATCCATTAAATCCAGATCTTTTAGGAGTCTTCTTATCGGTCGTCCAGCGTATTTCATGACTCCTCAACTCCAACGGTCTGATGCATGATCGAACTTGAAACTAATCAAATTCCTACAAGAGAGTCGGAGAAACAGATTCCCTTAAGACCTAAGGAATATAAATCTTGTGTAAACAGGTGCCGCTCAGGTGTAGAACCTACTGAGTTAACATAAGTGTAATCTTCTGAGTACGCTTCATTATATTCGAGGTCTTGTGTCTACTGATATCATGTCATCATATTTGTATGTGTGTGTGTTTTGAAATTGTTCTGTACCGATAAAACTGATAAAGATTTGTTTAGCCTGTACGCAACTGATGAGAGACCAACGAAATAAACAATGATGATGATCGCAAGTAATTTCGTCCAAATTGTAAATCTTGTTTATTCAAATGTCTTGCATGTAAACAGGAACAAGTAAACTGATAAATACGGAGAGAATTCGGCTAAAAGTGGGATCATATCTTGAATGTTTAGGTGAACAAGAGCATGCAATTAGTCGGTGAAATTGACTCACTGCAAATTAAGTAATATAAATCATGTGTAAAAAAAATGATGTTTTCAATGATGTGATAAGAAAACTAAGTGCTCCCATTGTGTTTTTACGGGCTATTCATTAAAGTGTAGAATCTACTGAGTTAACGTATATATTTATTCTTTCATTGTTCACAGGGACGGAAAATGATCAGATGAACTTCATTTTGAGCTGTAACATTCAATAATATAAATTCATTAATCAACTGGCTAATTGTACCGCCTGCATTATTATTGTTCTCAATACTTGCTTGATTGAGTTTCTGATAGAAGCAGCTATCTAATGCAACAATCGTTTCTATTAGAAACCAACTAACCATAATCATAAACTTTTGATGTTTGATAGAAAGAGCGTTTACACACCGACAAACATATCATACTTGTGAATAACAAGATAAATATCGAGAGAAACCACTGAAATCTATTGCCAGGTTTGATTGTTTATTATTGTCTCCATTGCGAAACACGATCATAAATGCAGAGATGAAAGGCTGTATTGCCGACAACTCCAGTTTACAAGCTTGATCACGTATTGATATCAGTGAGGGAACCACTGAAAATCAAGGAGTGCTACCAGGAGGCCCTTTCGGCTTACTTTGGAACACTTTACAGTACACAAACATGCACTGAATAATCAATCCAAGACTTTCACTTTGAAACATTACCCAGTTACTGGTACAGAATCAAACGACGGATCGGTTCTAGCTCCCACTACGGATGAGTACTATCAAATACTGTCAAACCACTGCTCTGACACTAGTTAACAGCTAGTGTTCTAGTCGTCTGTTTGGCGCAGACTGAATTCTATCACTCACCTTCACAATATGGTCATCATG